GAGCCATTTGTTTTCTGGACATCTTGACGGCAAAGCGAACCAGCTTGTGATGCTTTTTCCTCCTCCAAAGCATCAGCATTCTTCGATGTCGATCTTTAGCACGTAGAGCTTGTAGAGGAGACCAGGGGCCACAAGGAAAGGCTATCACCTGAGCATATGGCGCTTCCTGATCAACTTCATCCAAGGCTTTCTGCTGGTGCTTGTCCTTCATAAAGTCATAGCCCGTACCCAAGGTCATGCTTGGCATTGTGGAGTGACCTCGCTTCTCTGCTTGCTTCTTGACTTGTTCACTGTCGGTGAAGGTTTCGCCAAGGAAGGGACCATGGCGAGCATAGGTCAGCGCTTGCTCCAACACAAAGCTCTCAGAGAAGTCACCGAAGGCTGGTAGTGAGAAGAACTTGTCCCATGAAGCACTCCTTCTCTCCATCAGCAATGGCTGCCTTCAAGTCATACTCAGACTCTTCCAAGGTGTCCTGAACCTTGTTATAGTCAACAGCCAAGGCATCATGTAGTCGTCGAAGTCGTTGGAAACCTTGGTGGATGGTCTGTTTCAAGCCAGTCTTCATCTGCTGAAAGCTCTGTTTGACGATCTTGCCAACGCTCTGCCTCACAGAAGATCGCCGGTGTGAAGAGTCTCCACATCCTCCATGCCGTCGACTGCATTCACCTCCACCTGGAGAGTTCGGATAGTCTCGTTCCAAACTTCCTGATCCATTTGCAGATGGAAGAATGACGTCTCTGACATCGCCTCCGGCTCCTCGACCTGATCCCAGATGGGATCGCCCATAAGTCAGCTTTCTCACACGCTCGTCTGGTAGATCTTGAAGTCGTCGAAGAGCCCTCGTCCGCATCCTGTGAAGCCAGATTGATCACCTGAGGTTGTGCTGTTGTTGCTGGAGCTGCGGACGGTTTGGCCTTCGCTTTCACTACTGCTTGCGAGGACCTGGGCACATCTGGAGCCTCCCAATTTGGCTTGGCAATCAAGTCTTTGACGATAGGCTGCAAGAGCTTCCGAATCTCGTCCACGGTGGCAGTCGGAGACAGGGGTGTATTGGGCAAAGCAGCAGCCTTCTGCAATTCTTCCTTGAGCCGCGGCAAGCCTCCTTTTGGCCCCAGCAAGGCGCGTAGCTGCATGGCGCGCTCCTGCTTGCTCAGGCTGAGCAATCTCTGGGCCCCCATTGCCGCTGCTTCTCGGATCTGCTTGCGAGGCTTCTTCTGCAAGGCCTTCAGGCCGAACATGATCATCTCGTCCTCCAGGAAGGACAGGCGGAGTCCCATGCGATCTCGAAGGTGGGTGGCCTCTTTCAAATGCACGGCTGTGCATAGGGTCCCGATGTTGATGCGGGCCTGCCATCGATGAGGCCATGAACCTCGTGCCACCATGGAGTCCACCTGCTGATGCCATTCCGGCACCGTCGTCACTGAAGGAAGAGGACACGGCGCATACCTCAAATAGGGCCGTTGAATCAGCCACAGGAGCAGGCCGCGCCAATGCCATAGAGCTCGGTGAACAAGGCGGGTGAACATGCGACTCCAGAGAAAGGCCGCTCGCAAAGGCGGCTGCCGATTGCCGTGAGGCTGCCATCTCGGTAGCGCGGCTCGCATGATCGCCCAAGGCTTCCAAGCTCAAATCCAAAAAGCTAGCAGAAACAAAATGCTCAACCACTTGACTCTCAGGCTCCGAGGTGCAACTCTGTGAAAAAGTCGTTCGAAGCTTCTTCAAGATCCACTGTTGTTTGCTTTCTACTTGCACTTCACAGCATGAACCCTTGCAGACACGAACCCATGGTTGCGAACTCAATGACGGCCAACGGGTGAGAGGAGTAGGAAGGCAAGGAATTGCAAAATGACCAGCTGACAACTTGTGCAATGGGATCCACTTTTGAGGGGAAAGCAACTGAAATTGGATGCGGTTGCCCATGAAATCCAACAATGAGCCCAAGGCGTCCAATGCATCTTTGCCCAACAAAAGACCCAGGGATGCACACGGCACTGAAGAAACCCAAACAAGGATCACTTTGCCAGCTACCACAAACGGAAGTCGGACTCGTTCTCGACTCACCAACTGCCCTCCATTTCCAAAACGATATCTCTCGTGTTCAGGAACTCGCTGGATCAACTCCTTGATATAGTTCGGGGCTTTCTCCAATGCTGCTTCAGTATGAGAGATCCATATATAGAGTACCCGCACACGATCGATTACAGGCACTGTCCAACGCTGCCTGCAAAATCTTGTCTTCGGAAAGGTGGTGGCTGTTGGACAACGACATGAGAACCTCAGACAAACACTCGGTGACCGAAATCTCATGTACATCAGGAGGTCCGGTTTGGAAGGCGACTTCACGAACTGGGGGAAGCAAATCAATCACATTCACTTCTGCGATGTGGGACTCGGTGGTTGACTTTCGAACACCGGACTGCAGCTTACCCTTTTTGCCTTTGCCTTTGCCAGATGACGGATTCGATGAGGAAGGTCCAGGGCATTCAGGATCACCTTTCCAGTGGCCTTCTTGGCCGCACACGTGACAAGTGCCAGCTTTCTTCTTTCCAGCATTTGAACCACTTCCAATGCCAGGGCCACGAAAGCCGCGATCCTTCCTCATGGAGGCGATCTGAGTTCTCGCCTCTCTCAACGTCACCAAAGCCTCAACGGCTCCATCAAGCTGCTCCTCAAGCGCTTCAAGTTCAGCGCCATCACAGCCTTCATTGGCTGCAGCTTCAAGTTCGGCTGCAAGCACTTCAACCTCGTCGTTGAGGACCTGCAACAACTCTGAACCTTGTTGATCTTGATGATCATCTGTCAACTCACCAACGGCCACACAGGCCCCATAGTCCTCACCATCAAATTCCTCCGTCGGCTCCTGCTCAGCAACATTGACTGCTGAAGCACCCAATGACATGCGAGAGCCCTTGGAAAAAACCAGAAGATCCAGAGGCTGCTGAGACAACTGTGGAACCTGAAGATGATGGCCTACGACCAGAAGAAAAACCTTTTCCAGAAAACGGCTTCAGGGGTGGTCTCTTCCAAGGGGCAGGATTCAAGCTCGGTCCGGTCATGTGGATGCGCTTGAACAACCGGACTGCTTCTCTCTTGGCTTCAGCATACCTCTCACCAGCAGAGGAGAGGGCTGTTTCCAACAATTGCTTTTGAATCTCTGTCAACTGCAGCTTCTGTCTGTAAAACCAAGCGGCCTCCTCGTCATTGAGCTGTATGCCTTCAGCACGCATTTCAGCTATCTGGGCGCGAAACCGAAGGGAGAAGGCAACAATGGATTCCTGGGGTGAACGTTTCAAGGACAAATAAAGTATTTCTCTCAATTCGCCCTTCTTGTCGTTCACAGTCTTGCCAACCATTGTTTCCCATGGGTCAATCAACTTCCAAATGCCGATGGTGTAATCGGCTTCTTTCAACACCACCTTCTCGTCGGGCTTGTCTGGATCATCAATGCTCTCTTCCGGACTATAGGCCAGCTCATCCGGAGAAAACTCCAAAGCACGAAGTTTTGCCGAACCCTTCTGTCGCATTGCAAACCTGGCAGCCAAATTGAAGAAACGTGTCTTCGACAGATCTGTACTAGATAACCACCAGGTAACTGTCTTCTTGAATTCTCGAAGGGTGTCAGCACGTCCGTCCCAAACGGGGATCGAAGCGTCAAATCCAGATTCTGACCAGCCGCCAGCATACCCATGCCCTTTGTCCTCCGACATCATGCATGCACCTGGTCGTCCGGCTCGTCGAACAGGTCTAGTCCAGTCCACGGTCTCGAGTGAGCCACTCAGGGCTCGCTGTCCTATCAACCACACTCAGAGGGACCTTCGGCGTCTCCAAGAGGAAGAAATCCGGGGGTAGTCAAGCCAAAAGTCAACTCAACAAATGCAGTCAGGATCAACCAAGGCGGAGTGCGAACAAGCACGGCCCTCCAAAGGGCCAAGGACAAAAGAAGCCAAGCTCCGCGTCACCACTGCGGTAGCGGGAAGGGAATCGACCAACGAAAGAACGAAATGGCGTCAAGCCCTGTCGCGCACCTATTTCCTCAGCCTATCAGCTCAAGGCCTACAGATGGCAGCGGATGTGTCAACCGCTCAAAAGCCACATGAACCTGCCGACATGAAAGCAACTTCACTGACCTGCTTTGGTTTCGTCAAAGACTGCAAAGGAGAGAAGTAGCCGAAGCCCGAAACCTTAAAGCGAGATCCTGCTTGCAAGGCGCTGCAAGGTAGGGGGACAGATTTGAAACGGCCAGCAGCAACCATAAACCCTACACTCAACCTGAACCTGAACCTACTCAAGGTGCTTTTGCAAAAGCAGTGGCGTTTCAGAAGTGAAGACGGGAAAACAGGTAGTTTTAACTATATAAGCCAAAGCTTACAGTAAACTCATGTAAACTCAAGATCAAGATTCAAGATGTGTTTTCCAAGGGAGCAAAACTTGCAAAACTTGCAGGCGCCTGCCACTGGTACAAGTGTAAAAAGAAAAGAATACCTAGATAGTGAAGCCTTGGCCTTGGCTTGATTTGGCGTAGGGATCAGTCAATGGAAAATCTTAACGGGACCAACTATCACGAGCCCCAGAAAAGCCACAACTGACAAACACCAAAATCGCCGCCAGCAATTCCAATGAAAACAAAACACCTTCAAACAACGTCGTCAAATAAAATTCAAAAGCCCAAGAGAATGTCCAATGAAAACTCAAAAGTCCAAAGGAAAGTCCAACCATGTTGGATGACAACCACAAAGATGATCAAAAATGCTTGTACTGGTCAGGTCAGTGCTCGCGGATCTTTACGCTCCTTGTGTCCAATGTCTTGAGAAAATGTCATGCATGTGTTCCTGGGCACACAGGAGCTCACAGTACAAACACCCTAAAGTATGTAAATCAAAACCTGAGAACTCATACTCTAGTCACATGCCCGTGAGTACAAATGCATCATACAGTATAATACATGTGTGCCGCGCCGAATCTTGTCTTTGGCCTTCAGCATCCTTGCCCCGCACCATCCCTAAGCTTGGCACGTCAAGTTCGTCAGATATTGCCAAGGGCCAAGTTCACCAACCCATTCACCGCTCACGCACGTAAAGGTTGCATCACCTTGCATTGGACCTTCCCAGCGAAGACCATTCTGCAGCCTGCTAAACATTCTGGAAGTGTCATTGCAAGAGACCATAATCTGTGAGGCCGATGGAAAATCTTCTGGGGGTGGAACCTTCTTGAGACCAACCGCAGCAAATGCACTTGAGGCATCAATGTACTGGCAGCGGCTGCAAGGACCATCTTGCTTTCCAAGAAGAAGCTGAAGCGCATCGCAAGCCTCATATTGCTCTTGGAAAAGGCAGCTGGGCAAATTCGATGGAGTGAAACTCAGCATGCTTCGGCGCTTGATCTCTTGCCAACATTGTTCTGGGTTTGCGATGCGGCAATAAGAACCAAACTCAGGAGACATTCCATAGACCTCGTTCGTGATCTGCAGGCCAACATCTTGGATGTAGCTGCAGCTCTGGAACAAGGTGCAGGTCTGGGCAGTCTTTCCAAACAAGTAGAACTGACACTCAGATTTGGAAACACAGGCCCTTTGACATTCGTCCATTTCCAGGTGGCTGAAATGCCCGACAGAGGCCTCAGAAGCTTTGCAAATGAATCTTGAGCTCCCTCAACTCATCTTAAGTTATCAAAAGGTTGGCTTTCCAAGCACCTTGAGCAAAAAGAACCTACACTAAAGTGCTCGTCAAGCACACGTAGGTATGTTACATGTACATTGTGTGCGGTGACGTGTGCTGTGTGGGTGAGGTGAACGTGTGTAGTGTAGAGCGTGATCGTGTGTGTATGCTTTGGATTCAGGAGCTGCAGCAGGGCTCCAGCGATGAACCTTGTCCAACGTAGCTAAGTCGCTGGAGGAGACGTCCATTTGTGTACCCGCTATGTTTGTACTGTTACATGCTTGTGAGTGTTGTAACCAGCTTCTATTCGTAGAGGTCGTCAGGCTGTTGCAGGATGATTCAGGTCTGCAGTCATGCATCCGCTGTTATGCATTCGTCTTGAAGAGACTTTGGAACCTTGGGTGTGAACTACTTGAAGCTGGTTGGACCCCGCCGCTGCACTACTTAGGTCGTACCAAGGTTTCTCCAGGGCTTGGAGCAACCACACCCTACGTACTTGATCTTGAGTGTGTCATCTCCACCTTTCAAGGCCATTTCGGATGTGTAACTGCCATGCCGTCGCGTCGAATTACTGAAACATCCGAAAGAGGCGTCTGCGCGCCACCCTGGACATCCTCAAGCCCCTGAAGTGACCCTCCGAAACTGGAGCTCACATGCCTTCTACCTTGAGGGTCAAGAACCTTCCCTTGATGATCCTCAAGTCCACAAAAAGTCACCCTAAGTGTAAACACCAAAGCCCAAGGAGGTGGGGAAACAACAGCATGGATTTCTGGGAAACCCGGACAGACTCTTCGCAGGTGTACGGGCCGGAGAATAAGAGCTGGTCGGAAACCTCAGCTATTGTTTCCTTGGTTGTGATCCAAAAACTCTACTACCCTGCCACAAGGTTAGTCCTACAGGTTTCAAGTTACTGTGAACTGACTTAGGAGCAGAGCCGTTGTTGAAGTAGCCCTGCGGATTGCGTGGCACCGCTGCATCAGAGTCTTCGTGCACAGGCTCGACGCTTGCATAAGCTGCCCCGAAGCATTCGCATGGGTGCAATGAATAAATGCCAGGTTCGCTCAAGGTCCCCAAGAGCAAGTCCTGGCTTGGCTTCTCGCAGGGTGGCACCCCCAAAGCCAGTGTGCCGTGTTGCAGTGCAGGAGGCTGATCATAGAGGGGAGTTGATTCAACCTCTCTTGGCAGCAAGCGCAAGTCGAAGGCATCTTGGCCATGCTTGAAGGCCTTGCTGACCACGTCGGAGTCAATACAAGCGATGGTATCCCCAAAGAACTCTGGCGCATTGATTAACGTTGAATCTTCGAAGTCGGAGGTGTTAATGTGGAGGAGGAACCATGATGACCTTGGTCCAGGAGTTTTGCAGCCCCAACTCTCTACATCTCTCTACCATTTCGTGAGGTGTGACAACCTCCTGCAAAGCTCGAAGTGCACGTTGGATGGTTCACGGCTCTGTCTACTTGACACGGCTCTGTCTACTTGACACCTATACCTTGACCAGTTGAAAGGCAGTCTGCTTCCTTCTGTGAAGAATGCAAGGAATGCATATGAGCCACGGTCAAAATCAATTATGTATGCTAAGGATGCTTTTTATCGTTATCGTTTTTGGGGGAGACCTTATCGGTTTTCAGCTTTTTGTTCAATCAGATGCTTTTGGCATTCGCATTTACATTGTGGATGCATGAAGCGGAGCTACCTACTCGCTGAAATCAGAAGCAATGGATGACGAGCTTGTTCACAGCTCCAAAAGCATTGCAATTTCGAGTGGGTTTGCGAAATTTGGCTTATATACCTGTCTCTATCTTAATCTTTATCGGCCTTCTGTTTGCTGGGATGTAAAATACTAACACGTAAGTTCTCAAGAAGAAAGGCTAGACCAATGTCTTCGATAGGGAATTTAGCTGTCTCGTCAGCAGGCTCTGGGCAAGTGGCTATGAAAGCTGAAAACATATCCAAACGGTTATCGGCGAGTTATCGGTTTCGTTATCGGCGTAGTGGCCACATAGAATCCGGATTTTTCAATGAAAGGCTGCAGATTAGAAAAAGAACAACACAGCAACAAACATATTGATTCCATATTATATGGCTGAAGCCACCCACTAGGGTACTGTCAGTGGGGCTTTCATTTGACATGCAACAGGTACCGCAAGGATCTGTCAAAAATGATAATAAATACCATCATACATAGGTTATCGGTTTTGGGGGGGGACCTTATCGGTTTCCAATACATCCTCACCCTAAGCCATTCACATCGACCTCTCCTGACTAAAGTAGTCTACACTTATTTTGACCCCACCTCATATGTTTTCTCCCATGCATTTATATTAGCTTCTCCCATCTTCCACCCCAAAACCAAATAGCAAGACTCAAGAGATCAAAGGCCCGAACTTGGATAGACCGTATGATAAACCGAATGATCTTTGGGACCCTTGGCTCTGTCAAGGAGCTTTGCACAAGATTCAGGGATTCGTTGCACGCTTGCTCTTCGACCCAAAACCAACTGTCGCTCAGGAAGCGATCCGGCACGAGAATACGAGGCATCATTCTGGTAGAAGTTCATCACTCCGAATTCTCCTTGAAGATACTGGGCTCCAGGCACAGCCAAGTTAAGGCTAGCATCTTGCTCTGAGCAATTGTTCAGCCGCACCAGCACCTGACCGTCCAAAAATGTTTCTTTCCCATCACTGACCATAAACCTGCAAGTGTCCTCCTTGTATTGGACGGCTGCACAATCGTCTCGCAGTCGGCATGTTTGGAGGCACTGTGGTTCCTGGACGGACTTCTCCTTCCAACGGAAGTGTCCCGAAATATTGCGGGGCACCCAACCTTGGACTGCAGGCACTCAAAACCATTCAGATGATGGCACAAGTCAAATAATAATGACTCTTATTGCATACTAAAGGCACCAAATATCGGAAACCCTAGCAGCATGCTTTTAGATGCTGTTAGTAGGGTACGCCTTTTGTTCTGATCAGACTGATAGGAAACACTTTGAAAACGGAAAGTTGCCTGGCAAGATGTGATCGTCTGTTGTCGAACTCGTTTGATCCAAACGGCATTGAAAGGGTGTATCCTTTCTTGTTGTAAGCAACACTATATTGATGTACTGTTTGCTTGTTGTAAAAATGTCTATCACATCAGCGAATTCTAGTACTATAGCATTAGTATGGTTCAATTGCGAGGGGCACCTGGGAACTGCATCCAAACTGAAGAGTTGGTCCGTCACAAGTGCTTATGTCATTATATATATATATATTATAGCTCGAGCCTTTTCTTGTTCCTCGGATCAGATGAAACACGTTAAACAGTAGAAACAATGAAACACAAGACAAACATACAAATCGAATGGTCTTCCCTGTCCCATTGCACAGTCCTGAAGAAACATGCACATGTGCATCGAACTTGCACATATTGAAGCACACAATTTCAACATCGTTACGCGGTGCACGTGCTTTTACTTAAAGTATGAGTCTAGTGGCGTGTTTTATACATAGGAACTCGGGATTGGTGCAAATGAACGTCATTCTTGGCATGTATTGAATGTATTGTCAAATTGCTTCAAAGACCTTGGGCAGTAGCCAGGAGACCATGTCCTCATGTTCAGCTGGGCTTCCGGGCAAACATCATCCAACAGCCTTATGTGGAAGATAGCTACTGGCAGGGCTTGATCATAGAAAGGGCCTCACGGAAGGTGCAAGCTGCAAGAAGTACAGTACAACTAGTGGCTTCCAAACGGGGCAAATCAAGAAGAATTGCATTGACACTTGGAATGTGCACAGGTTTGCCCTACAAGAGTAGGCCAATGGGCAAGATTTTCAGCCATTGGCTAAGCCAACCAATGGGACCCAACTAGCAACGAAGTAGAGCGGCATAGCGTGGCTGTGGAGAGACAATGAGCAGTCACCTGACTTTGGAGAGACAATGAGAGCCGCCGTGAAGGAGAAACTGCCAGACTCCAGATTGGTCTGAACTGAGAGCTCGAGCAAGCAAGTCACAGAATGGGGTGAATGCGTGGGAGCAACCCATGATTTGGGGCATCGGTGACTGGATAGGGGCAGAATCCAAACCATCAGCTCTCTGTTAACATCACATGCTCATGTTGTAATTACAGTACGTGTTATAGTTGCATACAGCAACCGATTGGACCAACAACAGCCTTTGCATGCCTTTGCAACGTGTACGTGCATACCCTGAACTCCAAGAAGACGCTGGATCAACAAATTACCTTGAGATGACTGTGGATCCAAATCGGGGGACCCGTGATACGACTCCCGTTTGATACTTGCCCCCGTTTGGGTCCACCACCCGACGTTTTGTTGCTGAAAAGGGGTGCCCTGGTTGGGCTGGAAGCCATTGCTAAGCGCTACTAGGTTGGAAGCCATTGCTACTAGGCTTACTAGGCTGGACATGGCTGAAAGCCATGGCTACTAGGCTGGCCATCGCTCGGTCGGTTGGTCACGTACGATGACGGTCCGATGGATCGAAACGGCCTCCCAGCGCCACGTGGCAGGTCACGTTGACCTCAGCTCGGCCCTGGGTGGCGGGCAAGCTCAAGCGAGGAGTGCCGCTGATGGCACCCGTGGACGGGTCCAGTTGGAAGGCCAACTCGTTGTCCAACATCACCTCTGTGGGAATCGAAATGCACAAAGGTGATTTTTATTTTACAGTACAGAAGTGGAACCTATAAACGAACCTATGCAGGCACTGCTGTAGAGGTTTACATACGGCAGTTTCAAATGTTGGGAGGAGTGTTAGTTTGAGTTCCCGTTGCTGTAGGTGTGGGCTGTTGAGGGGTCGATTCGTAAAACACACTTAAAGCATGTTCAAAATCCAGTCATTGGCCGATCCAAACTTTCAAAGCACAATGGCCTCACCAGATTTGCGAGACCATGACAAAATCCTTCCTTGATGATCCTTGCAATCCACATCCAAAATCGTTGGAGAGATGGACTCAGACACAACGAAGGTCTCTCCAGTCTCAATGTTTTGCACCACCGGAACCTGCAAGACATGGCCGGAGCGATTGTACCAGCGTAGGCCAGGTCCTCAGCTTAAGCTGCTCATCCAACAGTCCAACGCAACAGTTGCTCTTGGAATCCTGATTCCAAATCAGTGTTGCTTCCAACGAGTATATATATTATATACGTGATACTCTTGCTCCTTCAACTAAGAATCCTAGGTCTTCCAAAAGTGGCACCTCCAGAATCTCTGTAGAGATGCGAGCCACGATGCTGGGCACATCCCACACTGCTCCTTTCCACAGGCGTGCCTGAGCTGCCAAAAACTGTGTAGAGACTTGTTGTGTTTGCAAGGTTGCAAGCACCTGGCAGCTGCAAGATGGCATTCCTTGCAAGGCCAGTTTATTGATTCATACATGCAAGAACCAAAGTAATCATGCCCAACTATACGCCAAACATGTCACCACGGTACCTACCCTGTCCACCCCTAACCACACAAATCCATTTGCAAGGTTGCTTCAAATACTATTATATAAGCGGTAGTATAGCTGAACACATGGAAAGCCAACCCCCTCCTGCCAATGTAGTCACCTCCGTCAAGTCATCTGACGCAACAGGAGAGCCAGCTCTGCCATGGGGAACATGGCCGTTGGTTGAATTCCAGAGGAGGTCACCTTTGGAAGTGATCGAAAGCCATGGGCATGCAGGATCGCATTGAAGCTGAAAACTCGTCAGCTTTAGCTTTCTACGATTCTTGGACCGAAGGCGGACAATCTGCCGCGATGGAGTGCGGTCCAAACCCCAGAACTTGAAGAATACAGTCTGTTGACCATAAGAAAAAGTGGAGACAGGCACTGACAAATCTATGTTGGCGACAATTCCCCGTACTGGATCTTGCACCGACACAGTGGAGCATTTGATCACTGTTTGATTACTCATGGTGACCTCTCCGGAGATACGGCCATCTTTACCAAGCTCAAGGCCAGATGATGCTAGTGTGCATCCTGGCGCCACCATCTGCTCTCCTGCTGTGATGGGGCTCGGGGTTTCGTCAATGTTTTGCCCAAAATGCAGTGATTTACTTTGCAAAGGCATGTAGACAGGAGTTGGGTAGATGCTACCCCCGCCACAGGCGCAGCATGCTTCACTTGGCCTAACTCCCTGAAATGCAACATCTTGATCCTCCTTCGGCCAGGCTCCTGAACACATGCCAAGCTTTTGAAGGTCTGCACAGCTTTGCCCGTGCATGTCATGCCAATTAGGAACATCGTCACAAACGAAGCATTTGGAAGTGCCGAGGACTGGGATTGTTTGCATCACATATCCAGCAGCACACTTCTGACAAGCGCCATCCTTCACAGCACGGCAACCCCCACATTGCTCCCCGGCATCGCAACAGGAAAACTCGTAGGAATCTCCTACGAAGTCTCCGATCAACACTTCTTTAGGCAAACACTTTGGCTTTGATGGCAAATCCTTTAGGTGAGGCCTTGCAAGCAGTTGGACTTTCGACTGTGAGGATGTCCCCTTAGGACACTGTCTGAACGCGAAGCCAGGCCTTGACCACAAGTCTTGCACACCGTTTGGCCGGTCTCGACTTCCATCTTTCTCAAGATCGCGCTGCAAGCCTAATAACCCTCCGAAATGTTGCTTTTGCAAATTGCAAATCGTGTCATCTGCAGCCACTGCAGCCACATGCAACAAGAGGAACCTCAATAACATGGCCAAGCTGCAAATTTCGGCAATAGTTGCAACATGGATCTCCTATTGAGCCAAGAATGCATGCAGCCGGCGACAGTTGATTTTCTGGTCTTTGAGGCCCGCTGAGTTTCCAGAAGGCGAGCAATTCCAGTTTGTGCCCAAAACACTGAAACCCAATGCGAGCCAGCGGTTTGGACAATCAAGCCGGTTTGGACAATCAAACCGCATGGCATGCGACATGTCTTGTCAATCAACATTGCACAGCTACTAACTACAATCACTCTGAAATTATGTTGGTGGCCTTGTTGCAGTCTAGGAGCCTGGGACCATCCAGGGCAAGAGGGAACACACCCTTGTTACGTAAACGCTGCACTTTGAGGGTGGCTGTGCGACTGTATGATTCATAAATGAACAACACATTTTGAACAAGTCGTTTTGGGATCCTTTTGGGGCTAACCACACAACAAACACATACTCGCACACTCACGACTGCTCTTGCCTGGAGTGCCGTGTGTAGTTCAAATACTTGCCTCAGATTGCACGACTTGATTCCCAAATTGTCTCGATTCAAGGGTCGGGGCCGCGCGAAACCCCAAAGGGGTGCGTTTTTCTTTGTGAAACGACAAGTGTCCGGAAATTTTGCATCAGATCCTAGAATCGAGCACAAACAACTCACAGAAAAATACATACTTATAGTAACTGCGAGTGATCACAACCATGACATTCAATCTGACCAATTTTCAAGCATGCATTGAATAGTTATTTCGGCATTCTTTCTGGCATATCTTCTGACATTTGTTCTGATTTTTTCTGGCATATCTTCTGACATTCTTTCTGGCGTGTCTTCTGGCATTCTTTCTGGCATATCTTCTGGCATTCTTTCTGGCGTTCTACCGGCATATCTTCTGACTCAATGTCCGGCGGGGAACACTGCCACGTGGAACTCGCGGTTGGGGTTCAGGGGGAGCACTGCCAGCCGAAGCTCGCGGTTGAGGTCCGCGGGGAACGCTGCCTGGCGGAGCTTGCGGTTGAGGTCTGGCCGGGAACACCTGGCGGTTGAGGTCCGGCGAGGAACACTGCCATGCGGAGCTGGCGGTTGAGGTCCGGCGGGGAACGCTGCCATCCGGAGCTGGCGGGGGGGAACACTGCCGTCCGGAGCTGGCGGGGAACACTGCCATCCGGAGCTGGCGGTTGAGGTCTGGCAGGGAACACTGCCATCCTGCACTTGCAGTTGAGGTCAGGACGAGGAGGCGGAGAAGGAGGAGACGGAAGAGCAAGGCAGCTGACACAAAATCTTCACCTAAAAGGTGGGGAAAAAGTAGTCTAACAACCCACACCTGACTTGTGGCAAAAGCAACAGCAGACCTTCTTACAAACTGCAAATCACAATGTCAGGGACTCACCAAGGAGAGCCGGCGACCGGAGGCTCCGGAGGCGACAGTTCTGGCAAGAGCAGCAGGAAACCCCCCTATAGACTGCAAATCACACCGTCAGGGACTGTATGATATTGAGTGTGTGATTTTGAGTGTGTGATTTTGAGTGTGTGATGTTGAGAGGTGAGATGTTGAGAGTGTAATGTTGAGAGGTGAGATGTTGAGAGTGTGATGTTGAGAGGTGAGATGTTGAGAGTGTGATGTTGAGAGTGTGATGTTGGGTGTATGATGTTGAGAGGTGTGATGTTGAGAGTGTGATGTTGAGAGTGTGATGTTGAGTGTGTGATTTTGAGAGGTGTGATGTTGAGTGTGTGAGGTTGAGGGTGATTTTGAGTGTGTGATGTTGAGAGGTGAGATGTTGAGAGTGTGATGTTGAGTGTGTGATGTTGAGAGGTGTGTCATGTTGAGGGTGTGATGTTGAGTGTGTGATGTTGGGTGTGTGTTGTTGGGTGTGTGATGTTGAGGGTGTGATGTTGAGTGCGTGATGTTGGGTGTGTGGTGTTGAGTGTGTGATGTTGAGGGTGTGATGTTGAGTGCGTGATGTTGGGTGTGTGGTGTTGAGTGTGTGATGTTAAGTGTGTGATGTGGCGGGAGGACGAGGAGGAGGCGGCGGGATGCAAGCTAAAAGAAAGAACTCCACGATAGAATGTGGGGAAGAAACATGCAAGAAGCATGTAGAGTCCGGATGATTTGGAAATCATTTCAGAAGAACAACCGGTGCACAAACACAAAACCCTCAAAGATTCAATTATTCACAAGAATAGACGTCCGAAAGCAAAAATCATAAAGGACACATTTTTGAGAACAAGAAAGCTGACCTAATAAGACTTTCAAGTCTAGTGATCTGCCCAAAAATGAGATTTCCTATGTTTTCCTTCATTAAATAACCCTCGTTGAATCGTTTGGAGCCTCCCATCTCTCTGCCTTTGACGACTCGACAGTCCCAGCTACGAAAGAGGTTCACACGCAGGTGCTGGCGGATGTGGAAGCCCATTTCTAAAACCTCATGCAAGCACAGTGACAAACACCCAAGCCAAGCCAGCTTAGCTTAGTAAGGGCTTTTCGCAGGCTCCACACCAATCTATTTATATATATATATGATAAAGACTGATATAGATTTTGTGGAAAATGATAAAAGGTATAATGAGGTATGTCCTATAAAAAGAGGATGGTTTCAATCATGCGGAGCAACACACAATAACACACATCAAGCAACCCTCCTGTTCCGTTCAGCTATGTTCCTCGTGGTGCGGATTACCTGCCATTATGCATGCTTCAGGAACAACAAAGCAAAACAACACCTCACCCCCCTTTACCGCTGTCCATTCCAACGCAACCCGCAGCTTCTCGCTATTTTCTCCTCACTTTAAGCGGGAGGCTTGGTCCAGCTCAGCTGGGAAAACGGATGAAAACGGGGAGGCTTGGCCTGCTCAGCATGTCCCCTCCCTTTGGGTGCCAGTTTGTCCCAACACATCGCAACGAGCACTGAGGACAAGGTAGTAGGATCCTACACTATTTTCTGAGGACAAGGGTCAAGGTTCTACAAAAAAACTGGCTCCCAGAAGCCTCATCGCGAGGAATCGGTGCACAAAGATCCTGCGGATCTGAGCACTTGTGAAGATGGTGTAGCCCTATGGGCTCGAACATGTGGAGATCCTTGTGATCCTTGAACTCTTGGGAGCAATTGACTCTGACTAGGACGAACTCCAATGGCACTCACCTCGGATGAATCAAAGCAATGTATTTCCGGGGGCGTTTTTGCCCATGTTCTCTTCACCCAACTCCCATCAACCCCCATCAACTCCCCAAGTCCATGCTGTGAGCGAATTCTGCTTTTGGGGACCGTAAGTCCATGCTTGATTCTTTTGCCTGGCCATTAAAAATCATCGAAAGCTTATAGATTCGATATGTTGGTGTGGAGTCCATACAGTAGCTAAGTGCACCCACCCCTCCCAAAGGAAAGCATCCCCTAAGAAAAAACACACGCAACATCCATCACCATCCCCTTCCCTTTCGCTTGGTGCGGCGCTCAAGTCACCAACAACGGCGCCTCGTCCACACGATGCTGTGGGCTTCTCGACGCGATGACCGGAGACGCCGAGGGTGAAGAGCGTCCCGTCTCCCGCTCGGAGATCTCATCGCCGCTGCCGGTGCGAGAGAAGGTGCGCCCTGGCCGCCCAAAGCGGAGAAATGGCAATTGTTGGCTACAAGTGTTGGGGAAGCAATGACAGAGAGAACATGGCAATCATGAATGTATAATGTTATATTCTATATGGACATGATTAATGATACATTGGATTAGACAAGCCATCAAAAGTCACAAAGCTGAGATATGTCACTCCACTTTCTTCAGAAACACACAAAGTAATTCCACGGTCACTCCACCCATTGCAAGGTGCTCCATGTTCCGGCAGTAACTCGTCGCCCATGATATCTTCCCCGCCTTCCACTGCAATTGGCCAATTGGCACCCGTCGCCAATGGCCTCGCACTGATGAGTTTCGTCGACTTCGTCTCTCGCGAAGATGTCCTTGGATTTGCCAGTCTCAAGTTGAACAATGTAAAAAGCCTGCAGGGCTTCTCTGTGCGTTTTAGCAATTCAAGCTCATGCTTTTTCTAGCTGGGCATGGCAACAACAGCACTCTGGCATGTTAGTGATGTTGTAAGTCCTACCTCTCCATATCATCCCACTTCACCTTGCCTCTCGCACCCCCCAAAAAAACGAAACCACATTTTGATGCCGTCAGAGTTAGAAGAACCTCCAAAAACGGACTTCCAGGCATCCGGGGCTTGTCTCGTGAAAAGGCTGAGGGCGGCGGGCTGTGGCCGTGGAAGGTGTGGGGTCGTGCGACCATGGTCGCCGCACGTTTGAGCTTTGCGCCGCCAACTGAGGGTGGCGTCTTGGGGGAGGTGGGGCGCTCCAGAACGCTTGTTGTCTTGAAGCGCATGGGGCGAGGCTTCTCCTGGCAAGTCCACACCATGTTGAGCGAGATGCTAAAGGATTTTTTTGTTTGATGGCATCATCTACTCACAATGGAACGTTGAGGGGCTCTCTGCTGAGGATGCTGCTGAACCTGTGGTGTTCAGAAAGCTTTCCAACGGCCAGGGCTTCATCAAGTTCCAAGAATGACACCTCTCTGATCTCTGTTCAAAGTGCATCATTGGACATCCCTGCATGTCCCATCCACTGGGAATCCAAGCAATCCATCCGAAAGAGACCGGAAGTATGCCGTGGGTGTGCCGAGCTCAAGCCCGGAACAAACCATCCCTGCCAAACACATCAGCCAAGACCACAAACTGAAGAACCCCCCCCAACGGTGTCCCGACTGTGTCTCCATTTGCTGTCTCCGCCCCATTTATCTCATTCTCTCAGAAGCACGGTCATTTCCAAAGCACTCGGTGCTAAATTGCTCTCCTCCAAGTAAAACTTATTCAACACTTCAACAATCTCATAATGTTTGTATATATTTGTGTAACATATAATCTCTTGTATATTTCCTTATACGACAAATATATGTGCGTGTATTTTTATAGGGGGACACCCAACTAACTTAATGGGTCCCAGACTATTTTCATTCTTTTTGCGGGAGTCTTTAGGAGGTCTCCCTATTTTGATACACACACCCATATGTT